GTTTTTTTAATCTTTTAAAATTTATTTTAGCTAGAGGAAGGGAGAGAGCGAAAAACATCAACTTGTTGTTCCACTTATTTATACATTCATGGGTTGCTTCTTGTATGTGCCCTCTCCAGGGATCAACCCACAACCTTGGTGTATTAGGGCAATGCTCTAACCAAGTGAGCTACCCAGTCAGGGTGGCTTTGTTTTTGTTTGTTTTTTAATCTTTATATAACCGTTCCCTTGGACATCAGTCAGATCTTGTCAGAGAGGAACTTTTCCTCTGTCTACTTGGTTCTGAAATGGGGGCCTGTGAATTAAACTAACAAAAGACAAATTAGCACACACAAAAAAAACCACCAGATTTTTTATTCACATCCTAGAGAATTCACAGAAAAAATGTGACTCAATGAGATGGTTAGAATTTGGGGCTTATATGCTATCTTAATAGGGAACGGAGAGGGAGAGAAAAGGGCAGTGAGGGAAAAACAAATGACTTTAAGGAATTATATAAATGAGCTCTTACAATAATGGTTCTCAACCTTCCTAACGCCGGACCCTTTAACACAATTCCTCGTGTTGTGGTGATCCCAACCATAAAATTATTTTCGTTGCTACTTCATAACTGTAATTTTGCTACTATTATGAATCGCCATTGTAAATGTGTTTTCTGGTTGTCTTAGGCAACCCCTGTGAAAGGGTCGTTCGACCCCCAAAGGGGTCGCGACCCACAGGTTGAGAACCGCTTAGAATAGATGGGGATATGATAGTTTTGTGACAAATCTATTTAGGTGATTTCTTCTTTCAATGGTGCCAACTTCTATCCTCCCTGGTTGCGAAACTCCTGGGGAGATTTATAACTGTTGAATTCTTTTGACTCTGCTTTTAGGCAGATCAGGGGAGTTCAGGAAAAAACCTCATTAGTGGTATATTCTGGATCCTTTCATCCCTATTTCAACTCAAAATTCAGAGGCTCTTTGCTGTCTGTGGTCCCCTCCCCAGTTCATCAACCCTGCAAACAGATGCACTTCCACAGAACACCACTCTGGGTCACATGAATGGTTTTATCTGATCCCCTAAATCCAGTCCAACTTGGATTTTGCTTAAATGATTTCCTCTACCCAAAACTCCCTTGCTGTGCCATTCAATAATACAAATAAAAACTAACATTTAACAGAGCACTACTATGAGCCAGCCACTCTTCTAAATGCTTTATGTACTTCAACTCATCTTGTCTCACAACTTCCTATGAAGTAGAAACAGTTATCGTCCTATTGGAGATAAGGAAACAGGATAAGGAAAGGTTAAGTAACTTGTCTAAGCTCACAACTGGAAAGGACAGAATCAGAATTTGAACTCAGGTAGCATGGCTCCCATCTTTGTGTCTTCTCCACATATTGCCTTGACAGGACCTATAGAACTAGCAAGAGGGAAGCAGAGGCAAGGTTCTCCAGGCCTCCCATCATCTAGGCTCCTGGCTGGGCCCAACTACCTTCTCTGTAATCTTTTCCAGAAGACACATTTCCCTGCTGGTACAGCTCCTTGCACGTGGTATGTACTCTGTAAATAGTTTAATTTTCTTCTCCATAGAACCATTCTATTTATCCTTTTTTCCCTGACATTTTTTATTATGGTAAAATTAGGCTTAAAATTTACCATGTTAAAGCATATAATTCAGTGGTAAAAAGTACATTCATAATATTATGCAACCATTTTATACTCCCATGTCAGACTTTTTATTTTATTTTTATTATTTTATTTTTTGGTATGTGCCCCCAGCAGGAACTGAACCCAGGACTCTCTGGTCTGCAGGCCAATGCTCCAACCACTGAGCCAAACCGGCCAGGGCAGACTTTTTATTCTTTTATTATTTTTTTTTATTGATTTTTTAGAGAGAGAGAGAGAGAAAATGAGAGGGAGAGAAACATTGATGAGAGAGAACATTGATTGGCCACCTCCTGCATGTCCCCTACTGGGGATTGGGCCCACAACCTGGGCAGGTGTCCTGACCGGGAATTGAACTGGTGACCTCTTGGTGCATGGGTTGATGCTCAACCACTGAGCCATACTGGCCGGATAGACTTCTTTTTATTAAAGTAAAATATATGTAACATAAAATCAACCACTCTAAAGTAAACGATTTGGTGGCATTAAGTACATTCACAATATTGTACAACTATCACCATCATCCATCTCCAGAACTTTTCACCATCCCCAAATGAAACGGTTCCCATTCCACAATGACTCCCCATTTCCCTCTCCTCAGTCCCATATCTACTTTCTATCTCTACATTTCACTATTCTAGGTATTCCATTTATGTGGACTCATATATTTCTCATTTTGTGTTTGGCTTATTTCACTTAACATTATGTTTTCAAGGTTCATTACATTGTAGCATATGTCAGGATTTTTCTCCTTTTTAAGGCTGAATATTTCATGTTGTATATATACCACATTTTGTTTAATCTACTTATTTACTAATGGACTTTTGGGTTGTTTCCACCTTTTGACTGTTATGAATGCTGCAGTGAACACAGGTGCAGTCATTGTGAACATTTTGTCATGTTTGCTTTTGTGCTCTCTGTTGATATGCTCTTTTGTCAAACCATTGTGAATTTCCAGACATCATAACACTTTACCCCTAAATTTATCATTTATCTCTTAAGAATAAGGATTCTCCTAGTGAACAATGCCATCATTACACCCATGTTAATGTACTTAATGAAATGTAAACTGTACACTTAGAAATAGTAAATGTTATATATACAATTAAAAAATATTTTAATATTTAAAAAAGTTACCTGGCTGGTTTGACTAAGTAGTTAGAACATCGGCCCATGGACTGAAGAGTCTCGGGTTTGATTCCAGTCAGGGGCAAGTACCTCGGTTTCGGTTCATCCCTGGCTCTGTTTGGGGTTGTGTGGGAGGCAACCAATTGATGTGTCTCTCTCACGTCAATGTTTCTCTCTCTCTCTCTCTCTCTCTCTTCCTCACTCACACTCTATCTGAACACTCTATCTGAAGTATCCTCAGGTGAGGATTTTAAAAAGTTATACCCTCCAGCAGAGAAAAGTCACAAGCCTATACCAGGGTTTGTCAGAGGCACCATTGCCATTTTGGGTCTGATCATTCTTTGTTGTGTGGGGCTGTCCTGTGCATTGTAGGATGTTTAGCAGCATCCCTGGCCTTGACTTGATGTCAGCAGAACATCCCCAGTCATGACAATCAAACATGTATCCAGAAATTTACCAATATCCCCTGGGGGAGGGGGCCACAACCTACACTGGTAGAGAACCTCTAGTCTAGACTATGCTGACTAAATGAATGTTGTTTGAAGCTCTACTTCTTTTTTTTTTTTTTATCCTCACCTGAGGACATTTTTCCATTTTTTACTCAGATAGAGCGGGAAGGAGAGAGAGGAAGAGAGAGAAACATTGATGTGAAAGGAACACATCGAGTGGCAGCCACCCACATGACCCAACCAGGGCCGGGGACAAACTGCAGCCAAGGTACATGCCCTTAGTGGGAACCGAACCCGGGTCTCTGTGGACCGCAGGCTGAAGTTCTAACCGCTGAGCCAAACCAGCCAGGGCTGAAGCTCTACTTCTGATCCTCAGCTCAGCCAGTCATCTCCCATTGCCAAGGGAATTTTACAACATGCACATGAATAGATGTTTTTCAAATAAAGTGACCTTAAAAATGCAGTTTCTCCCTACTTTTCCCACAACAGAATAACACAAAGTTCTGGAGAAGCCATTTGAACTTGAAGCTTCTTTCTCCATGTTTAGACTGAGCTCATCTATCATTTGTTTTGCCTGGAATTGTGGTGTAATCAAATAAAACAAGTTTGACAATGATTTAACAAAATTCTTTAATAAAATTTTAAAAAATAAGTATTTAGGAATGAATTTATCAGCTTGACTTATTTTCCTTTTCCATCCCAAAGAAAATAGACATTATCAGCACCTGCAAACATAACTCAAAACTATAGTGATAGTCTACACAGAACTACATTAGAGTTTATATTGCTGAAAAATCAAGACAATTCCAAGAAGTGGTTGCAGGAATGATTTTTTTTTTCTCTGAAAAACAGCTGAGAAACTGTAAAGCAATTTAGATAAACTTCTTTTCTGTGATTGTCAAAAGTTTCTTGATGGTCACATTTCAACTAAAATAATATCCAAATTGAGGTTTTTCTTACCCCTACCTCCCTTGCTCCTAAGAAAAAATTTGGAGTTTCTAATGTTCTGTTTTCTTGGAATTTGGGACAAATGTGTTCAGATCAGCTAGTATTTTCCATGGACATCAACAGAAGCAAGCACTTGGGGATGATTCTGGGCTTTGAGTATAAACCATGGTATACAGATCCTGGTAGAAAGCACATGTTGAGATTCTTCCATTTCTCCAGAATTTCAGAGCTAGAGGTAGAGCCACCTCAACCATTCCTAGCCTTGGTTTGCTAAATTGCCCGGCTCAGTGACAATTTATCTTGCCATCTCCAAGCCCACTTTTCAGGTTTTCCATCTGCTGTAACAAGCCATTTTCTCTCTTTGGCTGCAATGCTTTAGGCATTGTTCTGAGTCCCGAAATATATCACTCTTTTAAGTTTAGTGATAAACATTAAAAGTTAAGTGGCACCTGAAAACTCATCACCTTTTCTGGTCAAGTCTCCTTCTTTAGAACCAAAGTACCCCATAATGACATTCACATAACAAACATTCCTACTCAGAAGTAGTGGATAGATGTCTATTTCAAATTACACATTCAGGAGATAAAAAAAAAGAAAACTGTTAAAGGTCTTCAGAATATACAATACCCAGTCATATGGCCAGACTAAGACTCTTACCCTAGAAGAGATTAATAGTTTCTGCACCAGAGAACTCCTATCTGGGGCAATGTAAATTCAGGAGGAGTAAGAGTGAATACTGGAACATGGGATACCAGTGTGGTGATAGGATTAAAAAAAAAAAAAGAGCACACAAATTAAAAATAAATTTCTATGTATATACAAAGCAATAGGGCAATTGACCCCTCCCCTTCCTTTAAAAAATAAGACAAAAGCCTTAAGATAAGCTGCAAATTGCAGGCTTATAAAGAGTGATGAAAGAAAAAAAGGATTCAAGGAATAAGTCAAAATCTTTCTACTACACACAGATTAGATCTATAAAGTAGAAATTATAACTATCCTAACTGCATCACCGATCACAGTCTCTCTTCCCCAGAAATTCATCCTAAGTGAAGGGAGCTGAAAGACCACCAGAAAAAGTATTCCTACATTTCCCATCACATGAGTATAGGGACCCATCTCTCTTCTCATCTGTCTTGAGTTCCCTAGTCATCCACACCACCTCCGTACATATCTGCCAGCTTCTTGAAGCGATTGCCCCATTCATTTAGGTAGTCATAGTCCTGGTCTTGGTCTGACTCCGAGGAGTTCAGGGAGCTCAGACTAGCAGCTTCGGAACCACTTCCTTCATAATCAAACACGAGCAGAGAGTCGTACGGGGGAGCAGTGGGGTCACTATCAGCCGCCTTCAAATTCTAAAGAAGAAGAAAAAAACACGATCTTTCAATGAAAGGAACCATATACCTGTCATTTAGGCAAGATGCCTTCTCTTGGTGCCTCAATCAAAGTGGACCACATGACAAAGCAACCATCCTGTAGAGCACCAGGAGCAATCAACACTAACAGGGTAAATTTTTTTTTTCCTTTATTGATTTTAGAGAGAGAGGAAAGGAAAAGGAGAGAGAGAAAAAGAAACATTGATGGGAGAGAACACTGATTGGCCGCCTCCTGCATGCCCCTACTGGGTATTGGGCCCACAACCTGGGCATGTGTCCTGACGGGGAATCGAACTGGAGACCTCTTGGTGCATGGGTCAATGCTCAACACTGAACCACACTGGCTGGACTAACAGGGTAAATTTATACAAACTGCCGCAGAAGTCCAGCTGGTGTGGCTTAGTGGTTGAGCATCCTCCCATGGACTGAGAGGTCCTGGTTTGAATCCCGGTCAGGGCACATGCCCAGGTTGCGGGGCCAATCCCCAGTGGGGGGCATGCAGAAGGCAGCCAATCGATGCATCTCTCTCACATTGATGTTTCTATGTCTCCTGTTCTTCCTCTCTCTCTAAAATCAATAAAGAAAAATATTTAAAAAACAAAACCAAAAACAAACTGCCACAGAAGACGGACATGATATGTTGTTAATGAAAATAAAGTTATAGGAAAATATGCAGAGTATTTGCCCCCCTAAGTTAAAATGGTAAGTTAGATGTAGGCAGGGAAGATATAAGCATGAACCAATCTGGATGGACAGAGGCTACAAACAATGAGGACAGTCATACCGATCCACACAGGCTGCATTTCAGCCCACAAGGTCTGCAAGACTGAATGCCAGACAATTAACAGTTAATTCTGGTAAGTAGGGTCAGAGAAATTGAGAAAAAACTTACATTTTTTAATTTATATACTTTGTCATAATTTATATTTTTAAAATGGCAAACCATATTCTTTTTGTAATTAAAAAAAAAGAAAAAAGAAAAGCTACAATCAGATGTGATAACATGCAAATGAATGTGAATGAATGAAAGGACCTGAATCCAGACGTATCTAAAATGGATGGTTGAAACTGGCCCTTCCTATTCCCAGTTTTCTCTAAGATCCAGTGGCTAGAATGGATGTGGCTTGGTCACTTCCAACATTGTTGTGTTTTGTATAGTCTTTGGTGGCAACTCCTGTGAGAAGCTAAAGAAAATCTAGCTGCATGAAGACTTGCCACAGGCCACTGGACCATCAGACAAGCCCTGAAAATCATTCCAGTAACTGAGCAATTGATTAGGTAACATAGTTTAAGAAAATAGATCCTACTAGACTACATTATCGTATTTGTTATTTTTGCTCATCCCACCTCCACTTATTCCTCATCTTACCCTAAACTAGTTAATGTCTAATTTTCCATCCTCCCTTGCAGATAGGGGCAATCTTGTGACAGTTCTGACCACTAACATGTAGGATGAACACCCTTCTTGCACAACAGTTTGCTAGGAGAAAGATTTTGGCCCTCTGCTCTGCCCTTTCTACTTCTTCCTGATTGGAATACAGACGTAAGGCCTGGAAGTGTGGCAGCCATATTGTGATCATGAGACAACAAACATGAGAAAAAGGATCTACATTTGTATCATGTAGCAGGAAGGTAGAAAAGGCTGCTGTTCCAGTCTCATCTGCTTACCCCAGCCTTCTATTTGCAAAAGGTAAATCTACTTCTATCTGTTTAAGCATCTTTTATTTATAGCTGAGTATATTTCTGATATATACAATATGAATAGCATTTTTCTGGCCCTTGGATACATATTTACATTAACAACCATCAGTGCGATGCATGGGAGAAGAGACCCATTAGTGAAACCAAATTGGATCTACTTTGAATCTCTTTAGTTTTATTTCTAATTCTATTAAATCTTTTCAAGTAATTCGTGGTTTTGCCATATGGACTTTGCAAATTCACTAAGACCAATTCACAGTGCTATTATTTCTAAAATTCGGATGAGACACACACAAAAATAGGGCTCAGGGATCATGTAAGATGAAAATATGGTAAAGAAAAGAATCTAGACTCTCACTTTTTTTTTAATCCTCACCCGAGGACATTTTTGTATTTATCTTCAGATACAGTGAGAGGGAGAGAAGAAGGAAAAGAGAGAGAGAAACATCGATGTGAGAGAGACACATCGACTGGTTGCCACCCACAGGACCCCAACTGGAGCTGGGGACAAACTGCAACCGAGGTATATGCTGTTAGCAGGAACCAAACCCAGGACTCTCTGGTCTTGAGCTGATGCTCTAACCGCTGAGCCAAACCAGCCAGGGCTCTTTCTCACTTTTGACACAATGCTCCTTTCTATGTTTAGAGATGAGTTGTGCCTTGGCTTTTGACTTTGCTTACTCACTTCATCAATAAAGTTTCCAATTTCATCAGGATTGGCAGGGCGGGGCCGATACTGGGGCAGACTCAGGAGGGTTGGTGCCACATCATTGCGAGTCACTTCGGGCCGAGCATCCAGGCCCCTGTGCAACTGGCTCAAGTCAAAATCCTTTGGAGAAAAAGGTAAAAGTACAGCAAAGAGTAAACCAGAAACAGTCATAAACACAGGGCTCTATTTGTTTTATAGGTTATGGTACTAGATGATGACTTAACTACCAACTGTATGATATTTACAAGCATGTGCCAGTGTAATCTAAAATGATAGTTTTCAACCTAAGAGTCTCCATAACAGCATAAAAGGATTGTGAGGAAAACATGTGGATACAGATGGAGACAGTTGTACCTTATTAACTTCTTACAGGGTATGATTATTAGATTATTATTCAGTAAATATTTGCTCCCTTTCCACCCTATCCAGACTCTGTGATGGGTCTTATACTTTCCTTCTAAATGCAGCAGACTTTCAAAACTTCTCTGGAAAACTCTAGGATAAGGCAAGTTAAGACCATCTCCAAATTAGGAAAAATAAAGAAAGCCTGAAGATTTAACATCTACAAAAACCAAAAAAACAGTTTAGCACAACTAAAATAACTCATGGGAAACAAAATATTAAGACAGTTCAGTTGCTCCACATCAAAGATAATTTGAATGAAGTTCACTTGCTGAGACTAGCAATGAGGAGAGTAGGCTCTGGAGTCAGACTACCTGGTTCTAAATGCTTTCTAGCTGTGTGACTTTGGGTAAGTTGCTTAACTGCTCTGTGTCTTTGTTCAGTCATCTGAGTTCAGAACAGTTACCAATCAATAAATATAAGCAATGTTGTATTAATGATGATGACCAGTGACAATGTCTATGTTCTTGGGTAAGTTTTAAAAAAAAATAATATACAAAGTGACAGAGAGCTACTTCAAATGTCTGCCCTCTAATCATTGCTTCTTCCAAATAACAAGGTTGCCATTAAGATTTTTACCAGTTTAAAAAACCCACCTGGTCCTCTTCTCCACCTCCTTCTTCATCATAGTAATAAACATTGTCCCGGGTGTCATCTTCTGGGGGCAGTAAGGGCTCTTTGACCACCCGTCTCCTCCGAACAAACAGTAGAAGCAGCAGAATCAGGACTGTGAAGGGGAAGAGACAGTGATAAGAGTCAGAGGTCAAGAAGTCCATAAGCAGCAGCTATCAGAGAGCACAACTGCCTTGCATACCAAACATGCTATTAGACAACACGTGGTGATGCTCACATCCCTGAAGTTAACATATGCATTACAATATACTGGACAATATGTGAATTCAAGTGTGGTCTTGAATTCACAATTGGATCTTTTTTTAAACTTTTTTATGTTTTTTAGAGAGGAAGGGAGAGAGAGATAGAAACATCGATGTAAGAGAGAAATATCGGTCGGCTGCCTCTTGCACAGCCCCTACCAGGGATCAAGCCCACAACTCAGGCATGTGCCCTGACTGGGAATCAAACTGGGACCTCTTGTCCACAGAACAATGCTCAATCCACTGAGCCACACTGGCCATGCCTCACTGTTGGATCTTAAACCAATCAGTTATTTTCTAAAATCTGAGGGGAAGTGTTCCAAGCAATGGAAATGGTACTGGCAAAAGCAGGATCATGCTTGGTGTGCTTCAGCAAGGGGGTGGTCAGCATGGCTGTAGCAGAATGAGTGAGGGGGAAAGAAATCTCAAGGAAGTCAGAGGGGTAGCCAGGACGGGTGGGCCACTGGAAAGACTTTGGCTTTGGTTCTGAGTGAGTTGATGCCATTGAAGTTTTGTGAGCAGGGTTGGTCCAGCCTAAATGTGACTGATACGTGCATATTATTGTTAATCAGTTATGGGTTGGGGCATAGACTATTTAAAAAAAATCACCTGGTATATACCTTATCTTCTCTTAAGATAAAGTCATGTAAGCAAGCTTTAAAAGCTATTTAATTTTTGCCCTGGCCGGTTTGGCTCAGCGATTGGAGCGTCGGCCTGCGGACCAGAGAATCCCGGGTTCAGTTCCTGCTAGGGGCACGTACCAAAAGAAACAAAAAAAACAAAAACAAAATTTAAAAAAAAGCTATTTGATCTTAGGATAAGTTCAAAGATATACAATTAACATTTAATATTTTTTAAAATATTAAACTATTTATTTAAATAAAAAAACTATATATAATTCAGTATTTTCTTTATAGATGCTTGTGCCCAAATACCTATATGACATTCACATACCTAGTGAAGCATTATTGCAATAAAACAGGAGGTTACATAAACTTGGAGAAAGGATTTCTTAGAAGTACCCAGTGGGTGTGGTACCAGAGGGTGGTGTCACTTTAGACTGACTGAACTTTCAAGGGGATTTGAAACTAATTGCAGATAATCAAGATGCCATCTGCATCCTGTGATACACTACTCACTACTGAATGACATAGAAGATGTGTCACAGCAAGATTTAAAGCCACAATATAGGCATTTTGCAAGAAAGCACATTGTTTCAAAGGTGTAAAGCTGAAATGCCCAAAAGTATTTGCAAGAGGACAACAGTCTACTGAGTGACAGCACTGTTCCAGGCATACAGAACATTTGAATACAAACATAGGGTTGTTCTCACAATAATTCAGATGGAGAACATATAGCTGGACAACTAGTTGCTTATGGATATAAAATTACAGTGTTCCGTACAATGAAAGGTTGCTGCCATCTTTGTTCTTGTAAGAAGAAGAAGATGCCCTGGAAAAAATACCAGATTCTGTCCTGGCTGGGTAGCTCAGTTGGTTAGAGCATCATCCCAATACACCAAGGTTGTAGATTCGATCCCTGGTCAGGGCACATACAAGAATAAACCAATGAATGCATAAGTAAATGGAACAACAAATCAATTTTTTGAAACTGTAAAAGCATGTGTCAACCCTAGGTGGGCTCAGGTGATATCAGTTTTAAAGACTATGGCAGAAACTGCCAAACTTTTCCCAGATTCCTTTTTCTCCTTCATTCTTTGTCATTGATGCTCACTGTTCACCCCACACTCCACTCCCACCCTCTACTAAGTTTTAATTGGGCACACAGTCACCCAGTTAGAGTGAGAACTTCCAGGTGTGGCTGTGTTTGGGCTAAGGGGATATGAGTGAAGATGATGTGTGCAATTTCCAGATGTGTGCCTTCTACTCCTTCAATCATCCCTCCTCAATGATCAAATGTGCAGGTGAGCTGGCCAGCTCTGCACGTGCTGATGAGGACAGCATCCCAAGGCCTTGCTCTCCTGAGTTGGTCCAAGGACCTTCAACACCCAGCATCACCTGGGAACTAGTTAGAAATGCTGAATCTGAGGCTCCACCCCAAACCTACTAGATCAAAATAGTCATATTAAAAAGAGGCACAGGTGATTTGTATGCCCTTGAGCTTGAGAAGTACTGCCCTGAGGGATTGGAAGAACAATAAAATAGAAGGACTGGGCCCCCTTTTGACTGAATACAATAGGCAGCCTTCCAGTCTTGGACCACTGACTTCTCAAATGTTCAGCAAGTGCTAAACTTCTCCCAGTTTAGAAGTCAAAATAGGCTTGTCAGCAGTACTTACTTAGCAAAGCAAGGATGCCTCCAAGAATCCCCAGGATGGCAGGAACCTGCAATCCTGCTTCAGCAAAAGCCGCGTTCCTCTTACAGCTGCCGACGGGCCCTTCACAGTCACACACAAACACTTCTAAGGTAGTCACCTGATCTTTGTTCTGGTAATCTTCGAGTCTGAGGTTTATTTTGTAGTCACCCAACTCTAAGGTTTTCTTTGGTTTCAAAAGGAGAGATTCGTGTTCTAGAGAAAGCACAAAAATAAGTGATGGGACCAGGAGAGAAAAAAAAGTTTATTGTAGAATAAGATTATTAAGGAACTAAAGACATTCCAAAGCTGAGTAAAGAAAGCAGAGCTGCTTGGGTTGCAAATTACTAAGTAGTATGTTACAGAGTCAACCAGCAAAGAAAAGAGACTTTTGGTGGAATGCCTCAAATGTAGAGGGGACAAGGAAACAAGCATCAAATGAAAAGGTGACATCTAGATGTTGAGAAGGGAATTTCAAAAGGGGAGGTAGTGGTGGGGGCAGGGAAGCACAAGAGTCAGAACAAAGTTTCCAAAATGAGACTCAAGTTCCCACCTGGGTCATTGTACTCAATGGTCCAGTTGACACTTGCCCCATGTGTTAGTTCTGCTCTGAAAGGAGATGTGTTGGGGGGAAGATCTGGATCAATGATGTTGATGATATGAGGCTGTGGATTCCTCTGGCAGAATTCCACATTTCGAGGTTCTGGTACGGGGGCATTGTCATTCACATCAGAGAGGATTAGGAGAAGGGTTCCCGTTCCAGTAGCAAGTGGTGAACCTAAGAAGGAATACATAGGATATATCATAGCTCAAGAACTGATGAATTCCTACTGCCTCCCATTAGACTGAACACAAAGCTTGTCCTAGCTCTTAAGGGGTCACCTACCCATGGAGCCTCGTGTCCTGCCAATCCCAGGGCATCTTCACTCCTGATTGGGCAGGTCTCTGACATGCTTATTCCCCATTTCGATAACAATTATTCATGTTATTCCTCATACCAAAGCGCCCTCCTTCCTCTTCTTCACCTATCTTTATTCATCCATTAAATTTTCACCACTCTAAGAAGTCCTCATTGCCGCCACCACTTCTCTTTTCTGAACTTCTATGACTGTAAGGTCATTAGCAAAGGGTCGAGCCTTTAAAAATAGCTCCAAGTTGATTTTCAAAATAGATCTGAAAGTTCATACACACTTCTGTTTATATTTATTTTACATCCTGATGCAGCACCCAGCATATGGTAGTAGAAAAAGTACATACTCAAGGAATCATCACCATCATCAACAACAGTAGTATATTGTAAGGGGAAAAAAACAAAACACAAAAAAACCCAGGGGACTATATCTCAAACCTGTAAGTAGTTATACCTGGGTGATTGGGTTGCAGCCAAAGTCTCCAACTCCCTCCTCCCTTGATATATGAAAAGAATTCTGAGAAACAGGATGTTCCAGAACACTACCCCAGGTGTCCAGGTTGAATCACCCTGGGAGTGGAGACCCTCCTTGATCTCCTTACAGTTACACCTACGCAAGTAGCCAAATCACATTGTCCTCTCCCTCTAAGGGCTGCCAGCCGCTCACCCATACATCCCATATATAACCCTGCCTGTTAGAGATACCAGCACTGACCCCGCCTTAGGAGTCAGCCCTGCAGGTAACTCCCCAATAAAGTTCTCTTGCCAGAACCCAGGTGTGTTCCTCCCTCGGCCGACCTTTCACTGGGTGGCAAGACTGTAGTATTATTTTTTCTTTTTTAATGGTTAAAAAAATCCCACTACAGCCCTGGCCGGTTTGGCTCAGCGGTTAGAGCATCGGCCTGCGGTCTGGAGAGACCCGGGTTCGGTTCCTGCTAAGGGCATGTACCTCGGTTGCAGTTTGTCCCCGGCCCTGGTTGGTTGTGTGGGTGGCGACCACTCGATGTGTCCCTTTCACATCGATGTTTCTCTCTCTCTCTGTTCCTCTCTATCCCTCCCACTCTACCTGAACAAAAATTGGAAAAATGTCCTCAGGTGAGGATGATAAAAAAAAAAAAAAATAATAATAATCCCACTACACGGCATAAAATGTACCACCTTTTTAAGAGTACAGTTCATTAGTTACATTGTTGTGAAACTCTCCAAAACCTTTTCACTTTGCAAAACTGAGACTCTGTATCCATTCAACAATTTCCCATTTCCCCCTCCATTTCCTGGTAATCACCATTCTACTTTCTGTTTCTATGAACCTGACTTTAATACCTCATGTTAGTGGAATCATACAGTTTTTGTCTTTGTGTGACTGGTTTATTTCAATTAGCATAACGTCCTCACCATCTATCCATGCCATAATATGTGACAGATTTCCTTCCTATTTTTTTAAATCCTCATCCGAGGACATTTTTGCATTTTTCTTCAGATAGAGCGGGAGGGAGAGAGGGAGGAAAAGAGAGAGAAACATCGACATGAGAGAGACACATTGAGTGGCCGCCACCCACACGACCCCAACTGTGGCCGGGGACAAACTGCAACTGAGGTAGGTACCATTAGTGGGAACCAAACCCAGGACTCTGGTCCATGGGCCAACGCTCCAACCGCTGAGCCAGGCCAGTCAGGGCTCCTTCCTTTTTAAAGTTGAATAATATGTCCTGGCCAGTTTGGCTCAGCGGAGCATCGGCCTGCGGACCAGAGTCCCGGGTTCGGTTCCCGCTAGGGGCACGTACCAAATAAATAAATAAATAAATAAATAAATAAATAAATAAATAAATAAAGTTGAATAATATTCCATTGTGTGTATGTACCACATTTTGTTTATCCATTCATCTGTGGATGAATTTTTTAATTTATCACGTGAATTTTCTTGTTTTAACTATGAGCAGTATCACAATTTTTTTAATCCTTGCCTAAGCCTATTCTTCCATTTATCTTTAGATAATAATGGGAGGGTGTGGGGCAGGGAAGGGGAGAAAAAGGGAGGAAAAGAGAGAGAGAGAGAGAAACATTGATATGACAGAGACACATCGACAGGTTGCCTCCCGCATGACCCTGACCAGGGCAGGGGACAGAACCACAACCGAAGTATATGCCCTTGACTGGAATCGAACCCAAGAATCTTTGGTCCATGGGCCGACATCCAAACCAGCCAGGCCATCTTCTAGGCACATTTACATAAATTAATTCAATGAATTCTGATGGGATATTACCATTTTGTCAGATAAAGGAACTGAGGGCCCTGGCCAGTGTGGCTCAGCAGTTAGAGCGTCGGCCTGCGGTCCAGAGACCTAGGTTCGGTTCCCGCTAAGGGCATGTACCTCGGTTGCAGTTTTTCCCTGGCCCTGGTTGGTCGTGCGGGTGGCAGCCACTTGATGTGTCCCTTTCACATCAATGTTTCTCTCTCTCTTTCTCCCACTCTATCTGAACAAAAAATGGAAAAAAATGTCTGAACAAAAAATGGAAAAAAATGTCCTCGGGTGAGGATTAAAAAATAAAAAAGGAAACTGAGGGACATAAAGATTAGGGAATAAGTCCCAGGTCACATAAGCATTGAGCTTCAGTCCTAGAATCTAAACCCAGGCAGTCTGGCTGCCATGGGGAAGGAGTAGGGTTCAGGTATAGAGGAAGTAGTGAAAAGGAACTTCCACATGACCTAAATAAATAATTTTCAGTTTTGACAATGAGAATGCTTTTGTTTAAGAATAAAAGAAAAAGACTGAACTCATGCCTCCAAAAGAAGAAGGGGGAGGGTATGTGGCAAGAGCTAGTTGAGGCCGCAAAGGCCAAAGGGGAAGGATGTCCTTACCATTGTCAGTAGCTATAATGAGGGCGGTGTATGTACTATTCTTCACATGCTCAAAATCTTCTCTGTCCATCTCAGCCCGAGTGGAAATGGCACCAGTTTCCGGATTAATTTCCAGCCAGTTGGCAATATCCCTCCAAATCCGATACCTGAAAAGGCACAAGCGAGGGCTTAGAATGGGAACAGCAACCAGCATGTAGCTAACGAATTGTAAAGTTCCTCTTTGCTGAGCAGTTCCTACCTCTCTACATTTTTTTACTTCTATATTTTTAAATCATACCTATATAAAAGTTGTCAGAAAACCATGTACCTTTACCTAGATTCATCCATTGTTAATATTTTTATATAAATTTATATTTATAAATAAATATATAATATTTATATATAAAAGCTGACACAGATACATAATATCTTGCTTTGCTAAACCATGAGAATAAGTTGCAGACATAATGTGCCTTTACTCATAAATACTTCAAAGTGTTATCATCTCCAAAGAACAAAGGCATTTTCTTATATAACCAACAATTTGATTTTCAATTGCAGGAAATATAACTTTGATAAAATACTATTAATAAATATATAGTACACATTCAAATTGCAATTTCCCCCCAACTATACAGGTGACATTGTGTCCTTCTTGGTGCATCTCATTAGGAGTTACATGATGTCTGTTTGTTCTTTTATCGATGTTCACTCTGATCACTTGGATAAAGAAGAGACCACCAGACTTCTTTACAGTAAAGGTACTTTTTTCCTCTTTGCAATTAATCTATAATCTGAGGGGAGATAATTTGAGAATATCTAATTCACCAACTAACTTTCATCCCATATATTTAGCATCTATGAATAATTCTTGCCTGAATAATGAGTACTATAATCCTTACGTATTTTTCAAAGCAAACTCTTTCAGAACATCACTCAACACCCCCACCATTAGCATTTGGAGATTTGGATTGATAAGGTGACTTGGGGTGGGCTGCTGTATTGGCATTTAATGTTAGGTATGAGACAGGCTAAAAATCCTTATGGTCTCGCAGAGAAAAAAATGTTGTTTTTTTCAAAATGCCAAGAGAGTTCTTTCCACCATCTTTTCGTGCCCCCATAATGTAGCATATGAATGTCCTGGCCAATGCTCTCAAGAATATCAACAATGCCAAAAAGAGAAGCAAATGCCAGGTTCTTATTAGTCTGTGCACCAAAGTCATCGTCCGGTTTCTAATTGTGATGATGAAGCATGGTTACATTGGTGAATTTGAAATGATTGATGATCACAGAGCTGGGAAAATTGTTGTGAACCTCATGGGCAAGTTAAACAGGTGTGGAGTAATCAGCCCCAGATTTAATGTGTAACACAAAGGTCCTGCTTCCATCCCATCAGTTTGGTTTCACTGTACTGGACAACTCTAGTGGGCATTATGGACCATGAAGAAGCAAGACAAAAAACATACAGGAGGAAAAATCTGAGATTCTTTTTCCAGGGATGTAATACATACATGCAAATAAAATGCCTTAATGGGAAAAACAAAAGCCAAGAGAATTCTGTTAAGCAACACCTTATCAGGAGTACCAGAAACAGTCCATCAGAAGAAACAAAGGCATGGAAAACAATTATACTGCTCAGTTATTCATTGGGGTCATGGAAAGGCTCAGAAAGGGAAACAAAGAAACCTAAGGAGGTAAGGGCCTTGGATACCTGTAGGCTTATCCCTACTTCCTTAGAAGTGCAAAGCAATAAACTACATAGAGTGGTCTTTATAGAGGGGTAAGGGTGTACACACACTATTAAGACTTAGTCCCTAAAGTTGACCAAAGCGAGGCTTTAAACTACCTATTTCACTATTGCAAGCTAAGATATCAACCCAGCTGGGAAACTCCTGAACAAAAACTTTACAAAGTTATCTTTGGTTCTTTACTATCTTTTGAACTGGCTGGTGTAGCTCACTGGATTGAACATCGTCCATGGAGTGAGAGGTCCCTGTTCAATTCCCGGGTACATGCCATGGTTGCGGGCTTGATACCCAGCAGGAGGCATGCAGGAGGCAGCCGATCTATGTTTCTCTTTCACATTAATGTTTTTCTCTCTCTCTCCCTTCCTCTCTAAAAAAAATCAATAAAAACATTTAATAATAATAATATAATTTCTCATCGTCCTTGACCTAATAATGCTAGCTGACACTAAGATCATTAACTGGACACATGGTTTAAAGATATTTATGAGTCTTTTCATTCCAGAATAACCTCCACTTCCAGAATAACCTCAGAAGTTGAAGTCACACTTAAACTCTTTTTGTCTGTTTAAGTTTCATAAGTCATAGGCACTGAAGCTAAAACACTTGTTGCCCACAACAAGAACACACTCAATTACCAAGCATGACTCCACTCTGGAGTTTTTTTTTTTTTAATAAGTTTTTTTCCTTTATTGATTTTAGAGAGGAAGTGAGAGGGAGAGAGAGATAGAAACATTGATGAGAGAGAACATCGATTCGATTGGCCACCTCCTGCATGCCCCCCCACTGGGGATCGGGCCCACAACCTGGGCATGTGTCCTGACCCGGAATCGAACCAGCATCCTCTTGGTGCATGGGTTGACACTCAACCACTGAGCCACACTGGCTGGACTCTACTCTGGATTTTCCTAACATTTTTATAAACAGTTCAGAGCGTTCTGACAGATTCTGCTAAAGTAAATATTAACAAGTAGGAATCCAGCTCTGAGAGAAGAGGAAGTGAGTACAGCAGAGGAAGGCCTCTATTACCCCTGGAAACCACACAATTACAAGACACACATGCCATGTTTGGGTTTGTGCTCTAAAAGTTTTTCCTAGTCAAACCCAGCTCTAAAAAATCTAACGCTGTTGCTCTTGATTTATGTGTATTTTCAGTATTTCTGGCTGTAATTTACACTATAGAGGTATCTTCAAGTTTAAAAAGAACAATAAACTATTTATAAGCAATGCCATGTATGCTTATTAAAACCACATTCCTGCTATACTACATGAACTCAAAGAGAGGAAGCATGGTATACCTAGAATGGCTAGCTATGAAAGGAATGGAAAAGGTGTGGGGAATGAGGATAGAAGTGTGTGTGTGTGTGTGTGTGTGCGCGCAATTGAGAGAAGGAAGGGTCTTACACAGATCAATGATGATAAAATGCTATAAACTATAGAAAATACACACACCCAGTTGCTGCAAGTCAGTTAAAAAGTCCACACTTACGTTATCTTCTGGTCCATGAATGTGTCTGGATCCTGGGCAGTGTAGGATGTGATTTCCTGTCCCACTGGAAAGTCTTCAGGCACCTCCACTCTCTTTTGAAGAGGCATGAAGATGGGGGCTTCATTCACATCCAGCACATCCACGGTGACAGTGGCCGTGGAAGTGGACAGAGTGACCTCAAAGGGGGCCTCATTCTTTACTGCTATGTAGAGAATGTACTGCTGCTTGGCCTCAAAATCTAAGCCCTAAAGAGCAGAAAAAAATGAGTTTTAAAAAATTTTATGTTAGTAGGAAAAAAAACTTAACTATCGCTTTTAGTGAGCAATGTACCCGTGATCCTCAAATCTAGTTGCATTAGAGTTGAGAACCCCAGAAGAAGAAAGATGGACTCATGAAATCTCAAACAGCAAGCTTCAGTTACAAACACTAGTATGTTAAGTCAAGATCAGGAAGAATGTTCACATGCTGTGTAACATGCTGTCCATGAGATAGCAAATGGACAGAAGGTCCTGCTATCCTCCTCACTAACCCAGGGATTTTAGTGGCAAGAACTTGGAGTTCAAAGAATCAGTCAGCAACCAGGTCAAATCCCAGCTGGGAAATTTCCCAGCTGTGTGATTTGGGAAACTTAACCTTTGGGTCTGTTTCTATAGCTAAGTAAGTATTAAAAGGCACTACCTCACAGAGGTGCCATATGGAATAAACTGGGAACTTTTATGAAAGCCTTATGTATAGTAGGGACTCAAATTACTCATTTCTTTTTACTGTTGATAGAGTAACAACAGAGGGAGATAAGATTATATACTAAGTAATTTGGAAGTGAAGGGTTTCCTCATTTGCTCAAGAGGAAGTGAAAGTTCTGGGGCTAATCCAGGGATCTGTTAACTCTCTGACTAACTTCAACAAAAAAATTACTCAAGGCCCTGGCTGGGTAGCTCAGTTGGTTGGAGCATTGTCCCAATATGCCAAGGTTGCAGGTTTGATCCCTGATCAGGGCACATATAAGAATCAACCAATGACTGCATAAATAAGTGGAACAGCCCAGCCAGTGTGCCTCAGTGGATTGAGCGTCATTGCATGGACTGAGAGATCCCAGTTCGATTCCCTGTCAGGGCACATGCCTGGGTTTCGGGCTCAATCTGCAGAAGGGGGCATGTGGGAGGCAGCCAATTGATGTTTCTCTCTCTCTCTCTAAAAAAAAAAAAAAAAAAAAAAAAAAAAAATCAATAAAAATGTATTAAAAAAAATAAGTAGAACAAATTGATGTTTCTCTCTTAAATCAATAATAATAATAATCACTCAACTTCTTAGTTTCAAGTTTCCAATACATTTTTCAAACACAGTCATAATTAACCCACTTCTAAAATAACCCAGCAAAATAGCAGAGACCAGTAAACCATTTTTGCTCTCATTTGCAAAATGAATATGGGCAATAGACAAATGTTTCAAGGGAAGTGACTATTAAAACAGATGGTACTTCCTCTTCAATTTTAGGATGCTGGGTAGGAGCTTCCTAACTTCTTACAGGAGCCTGAAGAGTCACTGTAAACCACAAGTGGTACACAGAACTTGGGAAAGCCAGCTATCCCTACTGTGCCAATGCCATGCTAATCTACTGAGAAGACACCAGGGACAAGGGAGTGGGCAGCTAGCTGGGCTGTCAGTTTCTGCATCTTGCCAGGCACCATACAAACCTTAGCTGTTTTCAAAATGCCATCGTTGGTTACTGGGTCTGTGGTGACAACAAATTGCTCCTCATCATTTAATACGGTGTACATGGCCCTCCATGCCGGGGTATTGGGGACGTCAGCATCAGTCACTTTGAGCGTAGCAATTATGACATCAGCCTCATTCTCAGGAACCTGCCCCTGGTACTGCAGAACAAAGGAGAAGATGGGACATCCTGAGACAGTGAAACCAGGTGTTAGGGGGCTAAGGGAATGCTTTCTGAGCCCAGGTTTAGAGAAGAGTCTCAGAGGAAGTGGTCACTCAACCAGCAGGGCCCTTATTTCCTGCCAGTGGATCAGCTAGCACTCAGGAGCATCCTCTTTCATGAATACCTAAAGTAGCTTTCCAAAGCCCTGGCTATCTGAGCCCCTCAGCACACTCTGGCCCAGTTGTTGACTGAGTTCTAAAATTCTAAAATTCTTAACTCAGTCTACAAGGTCCTGTAGGACCCAACATCATTCGGTTCACTACACTGTTTTACAGTTCTTGCAAAGCATCAAGTTCCCTCTTGATTCAGGATTTTGCATTTGCTGATCCTTCTGCCTACAACACTCTTCCAACCTCCCTTGTCCCACATTTGCCAACCTCCTTTCAAGTCTTACTATAAATGCTACTCACTGTCACTGCTAATTGCCTACTGAATATTCATTCTCTTCTTCTTCACTCGCTGTATTGTTGGAGGCAGCAATGTTTCCGAATAAAATACTATATTTCCAGTCTTTCTTTGCAGTTGTTAATGAGATATAAATAAACTTTGTGGGATGTTCTTCCCAGAAAAAAGAGCAGCAATGACTTTTGCATCCTCTGCCCTTGCTGCCTTCCTGAATGAAGCACAGATATGGCTGGAGTTGCAGCAGCCATCATGGGCCACAAGGTGACATTGAGGATGGAAATCATGCCCCAAGGATGGTGGGACAGCAAGACAGTGGAGGCTTGGTCTCTACCGACAGAGTGGACTATCCACCTCTGGATTTTTGTGACACAAGAAAAAAGGCAACCCTATTTGTTTAAATCCCGAGTCTAGTCTCTGTTACTAATCATTGAACTGATTTCTAACTAATACAATAAGGTTTAAGGTTCTTTCATGTGGCTTAGCCCCTTCTCCTGGACCTCATTTAATATAATTGCACACAACTATCCATTTATGTTGTCTAATGTCTCCCTAGCTAGACTATGAACTTCATGAGAATGGCATCTTTGTCTACCTTGTTTGTAATAATATCTCCAGGGCCTAACATAGTGCCTGGCATAAACTCAGAAATTATTTTGTTCAGTGAATAAATAGAACCTGGTAAGATTTGCTACCAAGATGCACAGTACGAGAACATGGATTCAGTAGGTGCTTTTTTGTAACTTCACAAAATTTTACCAATACGCACCAGGCAGAGACAATTGTCCCCCCAATCTGCTTACTTCATAGTTTAAAGTTCACTAGTTGGAGGAAAGTTTTCAAAGGCTTCACTCAGAAGCACTTGTAAAGTGACAAAGGACCTTTCTTTGGAAACCATCAAGGAGTTGCAGAATTACCATGGTTGGGTCAAAGATGGGAGGGTTGTCATTGATGTCATTGACCGTGATCACAGCTTTTGCAGTTGTGCTTAAGCCATCACCTTGAAGGTCAGCAGCATGAACCACCAGGGTATAGGTGGGATAATTCTGCAGAGAAATCGAACACACCCAAGTTAGAACCAACAGTCACATCAGCACAGTCCATAGTACAGAAACAAAATATTTTATCATCTGCTTAAATGCTGGTCTACCAACCAGCCTGTCCACTAGGCACAAAACCTCTGGACAGATGTTTAGACGCAAAGCTCAGACCACAACCATATAGGTGGTAACTGGCCTCAGCAGAGTTTTACATTGTCCATGGATTTAGCTAATGTGCATTTGCCCACAACATCCTCTGGATCTCTCCCCCACCTAACCTCACGGTCCAGCCCAGTGGTGAGCACACTGATGACTCCTGTGTCCCTGTTGATGGTGAACATGTGGTCATGAGGCAGCATAGGGTCTTGGCTGTCGATGGCATAAGCGATAGCGGCGTTGTAGGTGTTCACTTCGTCATCCGCGTCTGTAGCTGTGACCTGCATCACGGAGGTTCCTGGAAGCATCGAAGGAGAGGATGATTCAGTCAAGCTGCACTTCAGGGTCTGATCAATGCTGCTCAACTCAACTGTGTCCAGAGTGTTAAAGGCAGGGCCCCAGGGACATACCATGTTATTTATAGCTCTTCTGACTGCTAATTTCCAAATTTCTTACCAAAGTGCTACAGGAAGAAGGAAGCCTTCCACCAGATGAGCGGGATTTTAAGAACTCAGCTTTTCTAGCAGCTATTTTGGGTAGGGGTGGAGGCGAAGAGGAGATGGGGAATAAATAACCTTAAACTAAAACATTTTGCCATGTCTCTTCTACTGAGTGAATAGCCTAAAGAATAGGGAAAAAAATCCCAAGATTTTGGCAACTGATTTCTCAGCCACAGCTTCACCTGAGATAATGGGTCATTTAAGATCATTGCCTTCAAGATGGAAGAAAATATTTATAACACATGTGACCGACAAAGGACTGGTTCCTAAAATATCTAAATAACTCTAAGACTTTATAGAAAAAAGACAATTAGCTCAAGAGAATAAAAGGGCAAGAGACTTGAATAGATAAGCCATCAAGAAGAAACTCAAATGGCTAACAAACATATAAGATGCTTAGCCTGTTAATAATCAGAGAAATGCAATGTTAAATTGCACTGAGATACAATTATACATCGACTAAAGCTAAAAAGTCTAATATTTCCAGGATATACAATGCTGATGGGAGTGCAACTGGTTCGACCACCTTGAAAACAAGTTTGTCACATGAAGAAGTAGGCAAAACTAACAAGATATTATCTAGGGGTAAATATACACATGGTAGAAGATAAATTTTAAAAAACAAGGGAATAATTATCACAACGATAAGGGCAGTGTCACCTCTATGGGAAAGAGAAAAAAATATGATCAAGAAAATTGTATAAGGGGCTTAAACTACTGGTAAGAATCTGTTTTGTCAGGGAAGGTTGTTTTTAAACTGCTCCTATTTTATAGATGTTTTTACAGGTAGGGTGCTACATGCACATGCACAGCACACACGCAATGGCTTTCAAAGAAGTTCTGTCCCTGTGAGCGGCCTGACCCCAAACGCCAGCCCCGACACTTGGGGTCAGAAGAATCTAAGTATCTTTCTGGGCATTTGGCTCATCATTACCTGGGAGAGCACCTTCCATGACAGAACCCTCAAAGACAGCCTGAGTGAATTCGGGTCTGTTGTCATTCTGGTCTGTCACTGTGATCACAATCTCCATTGGATCCTCAATCGCATTCCCATTTGAAGACACAGCATGAGAGAAGAGCTGCAAGAGCCAAGTGAGGGTTACTTGGGCCCCAAAGAGGAAAGAAATGAGAGAAGTGGCCCAACCAGAGGAGAATGGGATTCCACCTGGTGTCCCCATCCATCCCACCCTCCAAGGCCCGAGTATATGGAAACCACAACAAAGGCCTTTTCTCACATATATGCTGCTGCTTCAATGAGGTCATGACACTGATTTAGGTCACAATATGTTAAGACCTGTGGGCTAGAGAATAAACCCACCATGTCAGAGCTCTCATTCCCCACATAAGGGCAGGGGAGCCAGACCTAGGAGATAAAGTTGAAAGCCTAAAACTCTGACTTCTTCAAAGCAAGGTAAAATTTGCTCTGGCCACTCCATTCTATTATGTCCCCCATATTTTTCTGCATTTGGCATCAATGCATTACTTCCCAGCTTCCCTAAGTTCACATAGCTACCAATGCCCAGAAATAGTTTTTGCTCCCCAACATCATCACTGGCCCATTCCTTTGGGTCAGAGACTTTTAAAAAATTTTATTAATTTATTTTCATTACAGATGTTTCTCCTTTTTCCCCCATTAGGGTCAGAGACTTTTAGCTCCAAGAATAGATTGATATCTTGGGTCTAGACTTATGCACGATACATATAGACTCTCCCCCCTTTATTCCTTATCAAAAAAAAAAGTTACCTCCCCCCACCATGTCCAGGTTCTCCTGTCATTTCTCTTCTAGCAATAGTTCTTAAAGTGTCAAATTAAGCTCCTCATATGTCCAGAGCATCTGATCTAGGAATCCAACATGGGTTGACCAAAAAATTTTGGAAGGGAGGGATTTCATCATTAATAAACTTCTTGGAGATACTCACTATGTACTTGGCAATTGCTTCTCTATCCAGAGGCTGCGTCACCTTTAGCCATCCTGTTTCTCTTTCAATAATAAACACACCAACAGGGGGTGCATCAGCTCCTTGGCCAGTGATGCTGTAGAAAACTTGAGTTTCTTTGTCCCTGTTAGATTTGATCTGAAGACAAAACAGACACTGAATTAGCAAGGAAGGATCCTTACATTGGGTCTTTCTCCTTCCTCTCTTTAGTCCTTCTCTGCCAAATTCCTCCCAAAGAAATAAAGAACATCCTTCTCTACCTGAACCAGATTCTTAGGAAATGGGCCTTTCTCATTTTCTGGGCAGCTGATAGGAGGAATAACCCAGTCTCTCTTCTGTCTTCTGAGACCATGGTGGGATTCAGGAAAGGTGAGCGCTTCTGCCTGGATTTCAGGGAGAGAGTCCTAAAAGGAAAAGAAATGAAGAACAAAATGAGATAATTCATGAGAGAAAATGCAGTCCAAACAGTCCAACCTATCCAGTCAGCATCTTCATACTTCTGGGGCAGCCTGTGGTTTTAAGTTAATAACAAAATTAACAGCCAAAAGAAAACCCAAAGAACCCTTTTGCCATAATAAAGTGCTCTCTTTGGATTTTTCTTACTGTCCAGAGTTCAAGTAATCATTATGCATGCACGATTATAGGTTTGTGGGTTTGCTATTATTTTACAAGTTATTTCAAGCCTACAATATCATACCTGTCATGTTTTTAAGTTTACTTTTCAATTACAATTTACATTCAATATTATTTTGTATTAGTTTCAGATATACAGCATAGTAGTTAGGCAATCATATACTTTAGGAATCACACCTGTCTTTTTTTTTTTTATTATTATTGGTGACATTATTACAGATGTCCCTCATTCCCCCTCACCTTTGCATCCCTCTACCCAGCCCCTGCTCAGGTCTTCACCACACTATTATCTGTGTCCATAGCCTATGCATATATATGTATCACACTTTTTTTTTTTTTTTTTTTTTTTTTTTTTTTTTTTTTTTATCCTCACCCGAGGACATTTTTCCATTTTTTGTTCAGGTAGAGTGGGAGGGAGAGAGAGGAACAGAGAGAGAGAGAGAAACATCGATGTGAAAGGAACACATCGAGTGGCTGCCACCCGCACAACCGACCAGGGCCGGGGACAAACTGCAACCGAGGTACGCGCCCTTAGCGGGAACCGAACCCGGGTCTCTCAGGACCGCAGGCCGACGCTCTAACCGCTGAGCCAAACCGGCCAGGGCTGTATCACACTTTTTTAAAAAAATATGTTTTTATTGATTTTTTTAGAGATACAGAGAAACATCGATGTAAGAGAGAACCACTGATCAGCTTCCTCCTGCATGATCCGTACTGGGGATTAAGCCTGCAACCTGGGCATGTGTCCTGACCAGGAATCGAACCAAGACCTCTCAGTACATGGGACAATGCTCAGTCCACTGAGCCACACTAACTTGGTCACACTTGTTATTTTTAATAGAACATTATACTCCAATGATTTTGTATCAGAACTTTTTCAGCAACTGGATATTCTTGTGCTTTAACTTCTTTTCCTTTATGTTTTATCTATGGTTATAGGTCCCCAAAGTGGAGTTATCAGTCAAAATAAGTCAGTTTTGGGATTGGTGCTAACAACTACTTTGTGATCAATACAAATCCCTTAATCTCATGGTGTCATTATATCTATATGGTGTCCATTTGTTCTAATAGAAGCTGTTGGGTAGAAACCAAAAACACCTGTTGAGACTTGTATTGAACAGTTATCATGTGCGATAATGATAACTTTATGCATACACAGGGAAATAAGATAGTTGAAGATGAAAGAAAAAATCTTCCAAATTGTTTAAGTGTTTTAAAGTGATTAGTGGTAACACTGTCAAGGTTCCAGAAGACAATTTCATCTCCCACCATCTACATAGTCACTGATCACTGTTCGCTTTTTAAATGACTCAAAGTGAACAAGACAGACATAAGATGTGACCAGATATAATCACAAAATTCTTCCCAATTCTGCATACTGGACGCACACACACACATACCATCCTCATCCTCATATTCATCTCCTAGAGAAGCAGTCCTGCTGGGGCCAAGGGCAGGCTCTGGAGCCAGGCTGCCTAGCTTTGAATCCTCACTGTGGCACCTCTATCTCCTGGGCAGATTATTTAACTTCTCTGTCCCACAGTTTCTTAATGTCTAAGAATGGGGATAATATTAGTACCTACACCTATAATATTAGTACCTAGAGTTCTTTGATGAAATAAGATACTAATATTACAAATCATGTCTGAAACATAGTAAGTGCTCAATAAATGACAATGATGGAGATGATAGTTGAACTGGTTGGAAAACTCTGAGTTATGGTTTTAATGAAGTCAAGTTTAGGACTTGACCCCAGCACAGAAACAAGTATTAAACTGACTGTCAACACTGTAACCTAAGCCTAAAAACAACTGTCTTTCTCAGTCATGATGGTGAACAGGCATTGATGAGTGAATCATTTGCCCTACTAGAGAGGAAGACAAGGACCATGCCTTGCTGACATCAGGGTTATAGAATATTTTCAGAGGATGACAATAAAAATGATGAATACTGTGCTGGCAAAACATAACATCTTCATGTATAAAATTAAAGGGAATTGTGCCTAAACATACTAAACATAGAATTAGACCCTCAGAAAAAAAGGATGCACTAGATTGAGAAAACTCACACAAAGGGAAAGAACTGAAAATTTAGATCTAGTCTTATTTTTCCCTCAGCTTTATTTAGGTATAATTGGCAAATAAAAATTATATATATTGGACTTCCTGTCAAGATGGCTGCGTAGGTAAACACGGTATCACAACCACATCAAAGTTACAACTAAACTACAGAACAACCATCATTCAAAACCGCCTGAAATCGAGCTGAACGGAAGTCCTACAACTACGGGATTAAAGCAGCAGCCGCATCCAGACTGGTAGGAGGGGCGGAGGCTCGAGGTCTGGTCCCACACCCACGTGTGGCAGATAAAAATCAGGAGGACACCTAGGCTGGAAAGGTCCTCTCTGAGGACTGAGGGATCCCTGTCCCACACCAGGTGCCCCACTCAGGGTTCCAGTGCCAGGAAGAGAATCCCCATAACTTCTGGCTGGAAAAACCAGCAGGAACTGAGGCTCAGGGAGGCTGAGGCGGCTGGGGTCCCAGGCAGCTCCTTAAAGGGCCTGCTCATGAACTTATCGGACTTTCTCCCTCTAAGCTTGGAGGGGAGGCAGCTTGAGGGGCACCAGAGACATACAAGGAAGAACTGAGCTGTTTGGCACTGGAGCGAGGGCTGGAGGGGGGGCTTTCTCCGGGACAAATGTGCTGTCAGAGGCCTTTGTTCCTTTGGTGAGCCCTTCCTGGGGGCGGCAGACAGTTGCCATATCTGGGACTCCAGCAACCTGGCTCACACTGGTAGCCCCGCCCTGGTGATTCCTGGAGGCCCCGCCCTACCCCACCCAACTTTCAGGCCCACCCAAGCTGTTGCCACTTGCTTAACCATAGGATTGGCCTGTCTTGGATCCTGCTTCAGGCTTTTCCTAAATTCTTTCAAACAAGCAGAACGAGGTATGGTCTCAGCTAGCCCCATACCTCTCGTTAAGTAATACACAGAAACAAACACAGGGAGGCAGCCAAAATGAGGAGACAAAGAAACAGGTCCCAAATGAAAGAACAGAACAAAACCCCAAGAAAAGAACTAAGTGAAATGGTGATAAGCAACCTAACAGATGCTGAGTTCAAAATACTGCTTATAAGGATGCCCAATGAACTTAGTGAGGGCCTCAAGAGCATAAAAAAGGACCAGTCAGAAATTATGGATGCACAGTCAGAATTGAAGGAGGCACTAACTGAAATAAAGAATAATTTACACAGATTCAATAGTAGCGTACGTAAATCCAAGAAGCAAACCATCGATTTGGAATATAAGGAAGCAAAAAACACCCAATCAGAACAGCATAAAGAAAAAAGAATCCAAAAAAATGAGGATAGTGTAAGGAGTCTCTGGGACAACTTCAAGCGTGCCAACATTCACATCTTGGGGGTGCCAGAAGGAGAAGAGCGAGAACAAGAAATCGAAAACCTGTTTGAAACAATAATGGCAGAAAACTTTCCTAACTTGGTGAAGGAAACAGACATATAAGTCCAGGAAGCACAGAGAGTCCCAAACAAGATGAACCCCAAGAGGCCCACACCAAGACACATCATCATCAAAATGCAAAAGGTTCAAGACAAAGAGAAGAATCTTAAAAGCAGCAAGAGAAAGGCAGCCAGTTACCTACAAGGGAGTTCCCATAAGGCTGTCAGCTGATTTCTCAAAAGAAACTTTGCAGGCCAGAAGGGAGTGGCAAGAAATATTCAGAGTGATGAAAAGCAAGAACCTACAACCAAGATTACTCTATCCTGCAAAGTGTCATTTAGAATCGATGGCCATATAAAGACTTTCCCAGATAAGAAAAAGTTAAAGGAGTTCATCACCACCAAACCATTATTATATGAAATGATGAAGGGTCTTTTTGAAGAAAAAGATAAAATATATGAACAAACAAAATGGCAATGAATACATATCTATCAACAATTGAGTCTACAAACAAAATGAACAAGCAAACAGAAACATTCTCATAGATACAGAGAAATTTTGTTGGTTGCCAGATGGGAGGGGGGTTGGGGGAATGGGTGAAAAAGGTGAAGAGATTAAGAAGTACAAATTCATTGCTAGACTGACAAACCTCAAAGGGAAAGGGGTTGGAGGGGTGGTGGGAAGAAATAAACCAAAGAACTTATATGCATAACCAATGGACACAGACAATAGTGTGGGAAAAGGCGGGAGGGGGGTGGGAGTGGGAAGGAGGGGGTCAATGAGGGAAAAATGTGGAACATCTGTAATACATTTTACATTCAACAATAAAGATTTAAAAAAAAAAAGAAAAGAAAAAGAAAAAAAAATTATATATATTTAGGGTGTACAAGGTGGTGTTTTAATATACATATAAGATCTATTCTAAAAAAATATTTTTCTTACATGAATTAAAAGAGAGGTTTAAAACAAGTAGGACCACTGAGGTTCCTTCAACTAGAGACAAAGCAAAGTAAACTTCAAACCAGCTATGGCAGAGTTGCCACCTACCACTCAATACCCCACTCTTCCTTTCTTATTTAAAAACAAAAATACCGGATAAACCAGTTCATGCTGGAGCCCAGCAAGGGAAGTGTCTCAGACGTACCCGGCTGCACAGCGGGACTCAGAGGAACACCTACCACCAGACCTGCCAGGAAGAACACAGGAAGAAACACCCCGACTCTTCCGTCAATTTTTCTGAATTCTCCAAGAAATGCTTGGAGAGATGGAAGACCATGTCTGCAAAGGAAAAGTCAAAGTTTGAAGATATGGCAAAGAGTGACAAAGCTCGCTATGACCGGGAGATGAAAAATTAAGTTCCTCCCAAAGGTGATAAGGAAGGAAAGAAAAAAGATCTCAATGCTCCTAAAAGCATAAAAGGCCTTCATCTGCCTTCTTCCTGTTTTGCTTTGAACATCGCCCAAAGATCAAAAGTGAACACCCTGGTTTATCCATTGGGGATATTGCAAAGAAATTGGATGAAATGTGGTCTGAACAGTCAGCCAAAGATAAGCAACCATATGAACAAAAAGCAGCTAAGCTAAAAGAGAAATATGAAAAGGATATTGCCACATACTGTGCCAAGGGCAAAAGTGAAGTGGGAAAGAAGGGCCCTGGCAGGCCAACAGGCTCAAAGAAGAAGAATGAACCAGAAGATGAGGAGGAGGAGGAGGAGGAAGAAGAGGAAGATGAGGAGGAGGAAGAGGAGGAAGATGAAAAATAAATGGCTATCCTATAATGATGTGTGGAGTATGTGTGTGTGCTCTCAGGCAACTGTTTTGCTAAGAATGTGAATTCTGCCCTGGCCAGTTTGGCTCAGCGGTGGAGCGTCAGCCTGCAGTCCAGAGAGGCCCGGGTTCGGTTCCTGCTGGCGGCATGTACCTCGGTTGCAGTTTGTCCCGGCCCTGGTTGGGTCAGGCGGGTGGCAACCACTTGATGTGTCCCTTTCACGTCAATGTTTCTCTCTCTCTCTCTCTCTCTCTCTCACTCTCTCTCTTCCCCTCCCCCTCTCCCTCTCCCTCCCCACTCTATCTGAACAAAAAATAGAAAAATGTCCTCAGGTGAGGATAAAAAAGAAAAGAATGTGAATTCAAGTGCAGCTCAATATTAGCTTCAGTATAAAAACTGTACAGATTTTTGTACAGCTAAGATTTTTTGTAGAGAAAATACTTTTATAAAAATGCAGGTTGTAGCTTTTTGAGCGGCTACTACATACAGTTAGATTTTAAGGCTTCTGATGTTAAATGTTTCTAAATATTTAATGGTTTCTTTAATTCTTGACTTGTGTATGGTAGCACAACAAACTTATAGAAATTAGAATCAATAGTAAATTTTGGATTTTCTACTGTTGCATTTTTTTTTAATTTGTAATAAAATTATGTATATTATTAAAAAAAACCAAAAACCAAAATACCTCTTTCTGTCTTTCTCCATATATTATGTAAATTTTGTATCTAGCAATGTACCCAAGTAAAATACTACATTTCCTATACTACACTTGCAGCTTTGGGTGGCCATGAGGACAAGTTGTAGCAAATGAAGTATAAGCAGAAGTGTTGCTTCAAAAGTCCACAAAATTTTCTTAAAAAGGCAGCCGGACAATTAAGCAATGCATTTTTGTGCTTCCTCCCTTTCTCATTCTTGTCACCTAGAATAAAATTGTGATTGCTGGAGCTCCAACAGCCATCTTGGGTCACGAGGTATCCTTGAGGATTGAAACCATGCACTGTGGATGACAGAACAGAAAGAAAAAGAGGAGCCTGGGCTCTGGATGACTGTGGACTCTCCTTACTAACCCTTAACTTGGATTTCCTTAACTTGAAAGAGAAATAGTGTATTTTGCACAAACCAATGTGATTTGTGTTTTTCTACAACGTGTATTTGAACCTAATCACAATCAGCAAACATGGAGGAAGAGGCAAAGGTGAGGAGGAAAAGTTGAAAAACAAAGCTCAAAACTGTCTTTGGTCACAAGAGGCTTTCATGCATAGCTGCCCAGTAAGAACTCACTGTGCTGAACTTATATGAATGACAGAGTCAATTGAAGACTTAGTCAGGGAGCTATGTTAATATAATTCTACTAAGTTCCTCATTTTTCTGGTCTGTCCAATTACACCAGGAAGAAAAAATTCAACCTATCAGGACTATTAAGTTTCCAGAATCTCAGGAGTCTTTGGGAAGAAAAACAGGAGCCCGCCTTGAAAGGCCGTGGCACTTAGAACCCATTCCACACTTCCAAGGAAGTAGCAAAATACAACTAGAATGGCTTCCAGAGAGACATTTTGGTTGGATGCACCATGGGAGCAGTTTAGAAACTGGCAAAAGCATTTGGCTTTTGGGTAATAATTCCCAGAAACATTCTTGCCAAGGAACTGGCCAGGCATACATCCTAACATTTATGGGTGGTCCATTTGTTTGTGAATATTTACTGGCCTCCTAGTATGTGCCAGACTCATACCAGGGCCAGACACTGCAATATAATGGGGAAGGATCTTGTGTAGATTACAGTCCAATGGGGCAAAAGCTTCCCACTGATTCTTCCCATTCTAGGAATACAAAGAGCAAAATGATCAGAGAATTAACCTCTTACTCATTCTTCCTCCAGAAAGGGAATAATAAGAACAGTTAACAATTACTGAGTCATTATATGCCTAGCATGGTTCTAGCATTTCACATGTATTAATTCATGTAGTCATTATTATCTCCATTTTACAGATAAGGACATTCAAGCATGGAGAGATTAAATAACTCCCACATGTTTTCTCAGGTGGTAAATGGCAGGGCTGGGATTCAATTCCAGACAGAGCCCATGCCCTTGCCCACTATTCTACACTACCGCAGAAATAAAAGTGGCATCTTGCCATCATTCCACCTGATCCCTCTCTACCCAACAGCAACAAAAAAAATTCCCCAAAAGAATTAGTTCAGTTAGACCAAGCTTCGTAACTGGGGGCTATTTTGTCCCCCAGAGGACAATGGCAGTGTCTAAAGACATTTGTGATTGTCACAACTAGGGAGTGCAAATAGCATCTAGTGGGTTAAGACAGGAATGCTGCTACACAGCCCAGTGTATGGGACAGCCATAAGACAAAAAATTATCCTGCCCCAAATCTGAATGGTGCCAAGTAGAGAAACCTGGATTAGGAAGCAGACTAAAATAATAGTGGACTTTCAAGAAACACTACAACATACACGATGACGATGGCGATGGTGGTCGCTCACTGCTGCCTTCAGTGTCACTTTGGTGGAGAGCTTCCTGCGGGTGGAGTCCCAGGCATGAACAAGAAAACTCATCTCTGGATGATGTAGTTGTAAAGGCCGTTTGACCGTAAGCACACCATCCGTGCCCACTTTGAATCTGGTGTCATCAGAAACATAGATGGTCCTTGGTTGACCGGTACATCCTTCAAAACTCACTGCAGGGTACAAATAACAGTGATTAAGAAACTGGGCAATTTAAAAACAAGCACATTCCTACTCTAAAAAGCAAACTGGACTAACCCACCAAAAGCCTGACAACAGAAAATAAGCACAAACAAAACAAACCATGGTCTGGTGGCACAACAGCAAAGATATCAGAGCAGTCAATATCATCGTGTTCTTCACAATTTGAAGGCGACTTTATTGTTGTCTGCTTTTGTTTTTTCCTTATCTACTTATAAGTGCAACAGTAACCTGTCTAGAAAGTAATTTCTCATTTTCAATAACAGTAAAAAGGGGCTTCTGCTTTTCAGATGCTCTCCATAATATGAAAACAGACCCCTAAAACAATGGAGACAGAATACCTATTGAGTTCCAGAGTTAGAGACCATGGTACAGTCAGAAGCGATGGCTAGGTTATATTTAAATAAATAGTGGCAAATAAGAGAGAGAGACAGTATGGCATAATGGTTAAGAGTATAGACTCTGGACCAATCTTTCTGGGTTTAAGTCCCAGCTCTGCTTATTAGCTCTGTGACCTTGGAAGAGTTATTTAATTTCTCTGTACCTCAGTTTACCCATCTATAGAAAGAAGGGAACAATAGTAACTACCTACTAAGGTTGTTTTAAGATACACAAAACAGTGCTTATCACAGAAACACTATATTAAAGTTTGTTAAATAAAAATTTAAAAACAAATGTAGCTTTGGTTTATAATTTATTCAACCCCTGTGAGAACTCCATAAAAGACATTGATAACTGTAGATATTTACTGAGTGCTGATTATATGCTTATTATCTGAGACACTGAGAGGTAATTCCTGCTTGCAGGAGGCACAGAGGAGAAATTGATCACTGTCAGTTAGGAAGACAATGGAGATAGGACTCTTCAACTTGATCATACAGGGAGGCAAGTCAGATGCAAAAGGCAGAGAAGGACAATTTGGGTGAGGAAACTTATGACCAATGGCTTAAAGACAAAACTAGTTTTAAAATACTTTAGTTGCCCTGGCTGTGTGGCTCAGTTGGTTGGAGCATCAGAAAGGTTGCAGGTTGGATCCCTGGTTGGGGAATGTATGGGAGGCAACTGATTGATGTTTTTCTCTCACACTGATACATCAATGTTTCTCTCTCTCTCTCTCTCTCTCTCTCTAATCAATAAACATATCCTCTGGTGAGGATTTTAAAAATCATAAAAAACTTTAGTTATTAAAGTATTAATATCCAAAGCTGGAGACGCTGTGGTGAAAAGTTCTACACTAAACATCAGAGTTCCAAAGGACTCATTCATCAAGTTTCCACCAAACTATAAGTTAGAAACTGTGCTGGGCATTGAGAACAAAACTGTGAACAAGATAGACAAGACACCTGCTCTTATTAAGATTATACTATTGTGAAAGAGATGGACAAATACTAAAATTAAAAATTTCACATAGTAATCAATGTTAGTAGATATAAAGGAATTAAAGAGGGTCTACAAGAATGACAGGGGGACAGGGAGGTTTGGGAAAAGCTTAACTTATTATTGGATAGTGAGGGCAGGCCTCTCTGAGGTGGAGGTATCTGAGCTGAGCCTAAAGGAGCCAGTCCTATAGAAACCTGGCTCAAGAGCCTTCCAGGCAGAGGGAACCATAGATAAAACAATTTGTTCTGGGAAACTTTCAAGTTGACCTGTTTTCCTCCCTTTCAAATAACTGCCCTTCATTCATCCAGTGAAATTTCTATTTTGTCCAAGTGATCTTTTATAAAATGCCTGCTCTTGTGCATATTTTACATAGCTAGACACCTTTCCATTCATGAGGATCAGATCTGGGCCAGAAAGCCCTAAAGCCACCCATGATGACCAAGCTGCAGTTTTCACTTCTTCCACCAGGGGCCACCCTTGTAAATGTTTCTGAAGCCAACGGCCCCACCCTTGCCAGAGAAAATAAAACCGTGTTTGGGGTGGGAGGGTAATTATCAAAATACTCCCATTTTGAAGATGAAGAAACTGGCTCAGGGAGGTCAAGAAGTTTACCTGACATCCACGTTACAGCAGAGCTGGGACTAACTCTCAACATGAGTTACTTAGTCTCATTGTTGGCACTCCCTCACTCTGGAGAGCACTTTTTTCTTGGGGCCTTGGATATATACATATTTTAATGTTTTTAGCTCTGGCCAGTGTGGCTCAGCGGTTAGAAGAGCATCAGCCCACGGACCAATGAGACCCGTGTTCGATTTCGGCCAAGGGCATGTACTTTGGTTGCGGTTCATCCACAGCCCTGGTGGGGGTCGTGAGGGAGACAACCAGTCGATGTCTCTCTCTCTCTCTCTCTCTCTGTCTCTCACCCTCCTAATCTGTCTAAAGATAAATGGAAAAATGTCCTCGGGTGAGGATTAAATAAATAACTAAATAAAAACAAAAATATGTTTTTATTGATTTTCTAGAGAGAGAGGAAGGGAGGGAGATAGAAACATCGATGTGAGAAGGAAACATGGATGTGAGAAAGAAACATCAATTGGCCGCCTTCCACACGCCCTCTACTGGGGACCGAGCCTGAAGCCCAATCCAACCAGGACCTCTCAGTCCATGGAATGACACTCAATCCACTGAGCCACACTGGCTGGGCTCCTTGGCTATTTTTTATTTATTTATGTATTTATTTATTTACTTACTTATTTTTTAATCCTCACCCGAGGACATTTTTCCATATTTTGTTCAGATAGAGTGGGAGGGAGAAAGAGAGAGAGAGAGAGAGAGAGAGAGAGAGAGAGAGAGAAACATCGATGTGAATGGGACACATCGAGTGGCTGCCACCAGCACAATCCAACCAGGGCCGGGGACAAACTGCAACTGAGGTATGTGCCCTTAGCAGGAACCGAACTCGGGTCTCTCTGGACCGCAGGCCGACACTCTAACTGCTGAGCCAAACTGGCCAGGGCTTGGCTATTTTTAAAGCATGATTTTGCCTCCTAGCTAGAATCCACAAATGGTATCTGAGGCTGCCTCATGCAGTAGTTGGGAGTCTACTACCTGGCAAATAAACTAAGCAGCCAAACCAAGAAGGGTGTTCACAGGAAAGGAGCTGGGTCCTTTGAATCACTCACCCAACCCTTCCTCCCAGTTTGTAAAAAAATCTAAACCATGCCCCCACCATAACCCTTACCTTTTAGGCAGGTTCTATAACTCACTTTCCAAACTTAAGGGGGTAGAAGTGGGGTGAGCAGTGGAGGCTGTAATAAATGACAGGAGGAGGGCAGCAAGAAAAGGCTAGTCTGAGTCTGTGACTGGATTATAAACCCGGATTCTGAAATGTTCTTGCTGAGTGGCCTTACCAAAATGCTTAACCTCTCTGGGCCTCAGTTTTTTCTACTGGAACACGAAGAATACCACCACTGATTAAGCCTACTTCTTTAGGGTTTTGTGAAGATTAGCCATGGCAGTGAATGTGAATCACATTTTGAAACCAAAAGAACAATGCAAGTCAAAGGAGATTATTATTTCTCTGCATACAAGCTAGATGACAAGTATTTGCTAAATAAACAGATGAACCATAAAATAACAACAGGAACCAAGAAGAAATATGAAGTCTATAAAAGAATGGGCAGGTACTGTCCTTTAAATCTAAAACATGAATTTCTTTTCAAACTAGCAAAACAAAATGTTTTTCAAATAACCCTCTCCAAGTTCACTCCACCAGAAGTAATGGGGCAACTGGACTGTTTGAGGGCTTGTCACATAAGTAGGGGACAAGAGACATCCTCGTTTATCACACTGCATTCCTTTCCTCAGCCGGCCCAAATCTGGGCAATGAAAGTTGGGACAAGCAAGATTGGACTTGCCAAGGGTGGTGGCCTGAAAAAAATGAAAATGGTTTTGCACATAACTTGATGCAAGGCGTTCAACCTGCTTTGGGGCATCTTATCTTAATGGTGGCTAAGCACCGCCCTTCAAGAAGTGACAGGGTAAGTGTGGCCCACAGGCAGCCCCAACCTGAATTTCTAGGTACTCATTAAGGTCCATTATCTTTCCGGGAAACCTGATCCTCTGGGCTGATAAACCAGAAATTATAGGACAGACTGAGGGGATCTCCAGCTCTGGGAAGGCTCTGGGAAGCTTACTTCACACCTGGCAGGGACTGGCCAGTGACTAGGAGCCAGAGTGAACATTAACGCCAGCATGTGGGAGAGGAAACAAGAATGGCAAACTGTTGAAACTAGAGGATCAGGACATGGGAATTGGGTATAACTGAACATTTCACAATAAAAAAGTTAAATAAAAACAAAGTCAGCAAGGAACCAAGTATTCTTTAAGTCAGCATGTCTTCCTCCTTTCTTAAACCTGTCATTTGGTCACTTGGTCTAAAAACCAAATCCCAAAGACAAGAGCCAAGAACCCAATGGCAATCTCTTAATGGGAAAAACCTTTTCACCACAATAATATTATCACCACCATCAAAAACTACAACCTCTGCCCTGGCCAGTTTGGCTCAAGTATTAGAGCATTGGCCCATGATCAAAGAGTTGTGGGTTCAATTCTGGTCAAGGGCATGTACCTCAGTTGCAGTTCAGTCCCCGGTCCTGGTTGGGGCCATGTGGGAGGCAACCAATTGATATGTCTCTCTCACATCAATGCCCCCCGCCCCTCTCTTCCTCTTTCCATATCTGAAGATAAAAATGGAAAAATATCCTCGGGTGAGGATTAAAACGAAACAACAAACTGCCACCTCAACTAATAGCTTCAACTACCTTTGACTAATTTTTAAATACTTTTAATGTATAGAACACTGTATCCAGTTCTATTCTAAGAACTTTACAAATATTAATCCCAGAACTCCATGAGGTTGGCACTATCAGTGTTCCCTTCTTTAAGATGGGGAAATTGAGGCAGGTAGTAAGTAGCAGAGCTGGGACTGGAATCCAGACAGTCTGAGAGTTCATGTTCCCAATCATTCTTCCTCATGCCTCTCTCCATAAGCCAGACCCCTTGCACTGTGCTCCTTATGTCCAATTTTCTG